CTAAATGTTTGAAGTATGCGCTGATGATGTCGCCCAGTAGGGCGATGAAAGCTTCGCAAATTAACTATCCAGCTCGAAGAACACAACCACATCAATTATACCCGGTATACGACAAAGACGATTAGATATTTCCTTTGTGTACTGTTTGGAGATGATCTAATAGAGAACTAGTGATGGTTTTAATAACACCTGTTTTAACCACATTGGTAGGTGTTCATCAGCAATAAGGATTAGGCTTCAAAAGAAGCGACCAATGTCATTAGAGTTAGCTGACCTAGATACCTCGACATTCAGTTTCGGAATTATTTTAGTTGAAATCACCTGTCATAGAAATTTCATTATTAAACACATGGCCACAATAATAGAAAATAATCCTTATGTATCTGTTAACAAGAAATCTCTGCATATACGACTACAGTTCGAAGGTAATATATATCCAGGGGAAATACTAACCAATAAGTTGAGAAGATCGATTCAGAGGACGTTAAATGCCGGTTGTGAAAATGAATGACGAATTATCTAAGCTAGCTACCTTTATTAGCATTTATCATTTCAACTGCTCCCGCGGAGCCAATTATATTGACCGTTGCTCCTCGAGAACACCTACCAGTGTATGTATGATTAAATAAAAGAGGTTTATTAAGAGTGTCAGTGGTTCTTTGTTATATCAACTCGTCTAAATAGGCTTAAATGCTAAAATCGACAAAGCTTTAATGCATGGAGGATTTAATCATGAGCTGACATCAGTTAGAGGACCACTGGAAAACCTGGGAGTACTGGACAGCTGTTTCGTCCTAGTTTGGGACTCTTCAGCAGTATGCACCCACCGGGATTCGAACCCAGGACCTTCTGGTTACAAGGCGAGCTCGTAGACCATTGAGCCACTGGGACCCGATCCAATGGTCCATGAACGGATTAAAGGTGTAAAACGGAAAAAAACACTTGTTTTCTTGGACTTAGAAACATTTGAGATCAGATTTCACAAGAACAGTCACATTAAGAGATTAGAAAAATCACCGAAAATCCCCAATGAGTCATGAAGAAAACAAATGACAATTCAGCCAAGAAATTTTTTTTTCTTTATCGATGAAATCATTTTCAATGGCTGTACAGTCATATTTATATTTACCGAAGATGTATAGTAGTATATTATTGAGTAATAGGGGTTGACATTATTAATATAATTACACAGAAGTGGCTTTAGAAGTAAAAATAAAAGTTTTTATAGTTTGGTTTGTAAGGATTAGTTATGTTTTACGGGTCCCACCAACGACAGTGGTTGGGGTCGCGCTAAATCACGAATTAGTAGAAGTTAGAATTCACGAGCCATTGAATCGGGTCCCAGTGGCCGAATGGTATACGAGCTTGCCTTGTAACCGGAAGGTCCCGGGTTCGAATCCCAGTGGGTGCGTACTGCCGATGATTCCCAAACTAGGATGAAACAGCAGCTGTCCAGTACTCCCTGGTTTTCAATGGTTCTCTAACTGATATCAATCCGTGATCAACCCGTAAAAAATAAGAGTTGTAAATCACTTAGTACTAAATGGCACGAAGGAAGAAAGGGTTACAATTTTTATTGAGTGAGAAGAAGTGTAGTTCAGTGTCCATTTGACAGGTGTGAACAGGGTGAGAAATAGTACAAAAGGAATATGTGAGAGTGATAATGATGAATTAATGATTACATTTAAAGCAAAATAATCAATAAAAGTGAAAATAAAAATTTACAAGGAACATATAATGAAAAGGCTAAGAGCATGGTAGAATAAGAGACTCGACAAGCTTTATATATATATATATATGGTTCGGGGTTGTATTGACGAGCTTCCAACACATCTGCCATGCACAAGTGCAGAAACCTCACTCCCTTTGTACCATTCGGCCTTGCCGTGTCCCTTTGCTAACCATGCCTGGTAATTTTCAGAAATGCGTTTGCAAAGTGTGTACTTTTTGAGGACAATGTATATAGCTCCACAGGATTAATTGAATTTATAAACACACACTGAAGTGGTCCGAAGCTGTAGTTTATCCTTAACACATCCATTGATCATTTATCGGCTGTAGAAACTGATCCGTAGCTCAGCCGAAAAGAAGACTTTTCTCAGTGATCTGGATAAGTGGTTCTTCAGGAGTTCAGCAGCGGTATCACCTTTAATTTCAACCTCCTTAAATAGCAGTTACTTCGGCACTGTTTGGATTCTTCCGAGCGTCTGCTTCACTGTTATGTTTTTTCTTGATGAATCTTGGAGGATATCCATTTTTTATGAGAACTTGTACGAGTCGCTCCAGTTCCATAACGCTTTTTTTCTTTGTGCCGTTGAGACCTAAGTAATTTACAACTGTCCTTTTTAATTCTGAAGCCAACTCTTAGTAATTGTACCAATTACGTCAGACTACTATATATTTCCGGTAAATATAAATACGACTGCACAGCCTCTGAAGACGATTTCATCGATAAAGATTAGATAGATTTAAGGTCACTTCGTTGAAAGTAAACATAATTAAAATTACGACATGTATTCAAAGTAGTAGGCCGAGATTAACAATATTAAGCTTCTATGAAACTTGTGACTGCTGAATATTGAAAAGGATTTTCGTCTTATTGTGAAGCCAGTGTTTAAAAAAACATTCAAGACAGTTAAAGTTCAAGTTTATTCCTTTTTTTGTACACACTGCATTCAAAGAAAACTGTTATAAGTCTCTCCTTACCATTATATCACTATTCCCTTGAGTTTCGAATGGAACGTAGGACTTCAGCGGCACATCACCTTTTCACTCTGCACTCTGCAGTCACCTTCAGCTGGCTACACGACTGATCATAGGCATTTATTTTCACCGGTTCACGATCCACTCCATAGCACCATAGGAAACACAGGGCTTGCCAATTGATGTCTCTTGAATGTTTCCCAGTGGTACAGCCAGTCCACCTCCATACCTGCTGTGTATTTCTTTAGCAATAGGTTTTTGGTTGGTCAGCTACTTGTCAGAGCTCCAAGTTGCTTACCCATTCTGGTTGGCCGGCTATCCAATCTTTAGTGGCAAGTCAGCAAAGACATCTGTTGATGAAGGTCTACGGCCAGTAATAAATGCAGACAGTGACTTGCTCGCCAAGTCTTTGAATCAGATAAAAGAAGTGAGTGGCTTGAAATCAGTGCTGAAAATTCCCATTTATTTTCATATGCTGAATGCAGTGGATTCTCACACTGATTTCAGAGTAATGAAGGCGTTCCTTGCTGTCCCAATCCTGCCTTGATTTGACATCCCCATTCATGCTGACTGTACGCAGTTGATGTGATTTCGCTGAGAAAAGTGTAAAAAGTGACTTCCTATAGATTTCCCCGCTGATGATAGTTGGTTTATATTGTAGTTGCTGATCAAGTGTCTTCATTATCCCTTTCTTTTCCATGTTCACCTGAACAATTACTGTTTTGCAACATCTCCTGCCAACTTGTTGGCATGAGCTTGTAAATATTCCATGAGATCTTTATCTTATAGGGTCATTTTGTCTTCTTGACGTATGTCCGTACTCCTGCTTCTCAGGGTCTGCTGTATGATATGGTCCACTTCAATCAGGAATATCTTGGGTGGTAGTAGGCAGCCTTGTTTTACTCCTTTTGAAGGCATACACCACAAGGAAGTTTTTGATTTAGTTCAAGGAATAAGATTGGATTAACTTCTTTCTATAAGGTACAAATATCAGCAGGAACTAACAGTGCGTCGGTGGCATAGTAGCATATAATGCTCGCCAACTAGACATGTGGTTCCGGGTTTGACCATTGGCCGGCACACTCCATTACCTCTTTAATTCAGTAATTAGAATTTTAAAGAAGGGAGGTTGGGTATGAGTTTAGCAGCCCCATCCTATAAAAATAAACACCATGGCTACGGAAACTTCAAACCTCTTTTTTTGAGGCCCCATGTTCCACTAGGAGCATAAAGAAATGGAATAAATTATTTTTACTAGTTGATTGCTGATTGATATCTGCTAGAGAACCATTGAAAACCATCCACGGTGGACTGGACAGCCGTTTCATCCTAGTCTTTTGGGAATCATCGGCAGTACTCACTCAAAATAAGGGTTCGAGCGCAGGACCTTACGGTTACAAGGCCCGCTAGCTCACCTATCCGATTCATTGGCCAATGCATGAATTCTAACTTCTACCAATTCGTGATTTTAGCGCGACCTCAACCATTGTCGTAGGTGGGACATTCATCCTCAAACGTTACATCTGGATGAACCTCACTGATCACGACTTCTCATCAGAACTTCAGGAAACTACATCCTGTAGGAAGTCACTAGTGACCATGAGATTAATTTTCTATAGTATGGTTCGTAAGGGTTAGTTTTGTTTGTTGCGTGCTGCCGATGATTCTCAAACTAGTATGAAACAGTTGTCCAGTACTCTGGTGCTGTTTTTCAATGGTTCTCTAAGTGATATCAATCCGTGATCAATTCGTAAAAACAAAACTAACCCTTACAAACCAAGCTATAGAAAATAAATTATATAATAAAAACAGTGAGATATTTTAATTTCGTAATTTTATGATAACTTTTAACAAATTAGTTTTATATCGATAATTTTGTCGAAATTCTTGATCTAACTAATTTTTAAATTGACTTCTACTCAACCAAATTATTTAAGTCTTAGGTAACGTGTGTAGCTCATTTCACACCTCTATTCCATTCTGGACTGTAGAATATCTTTTTCAGTCAACAAATGAGTTCTCACTACTACCTAACCGTGATTTTCTCGCGTCTGTGAGCAGCCTATGTTATGTGTCGCGAGTTTTTGTCCTCACTCCTTTCCTGGTGGTGAACCCTTACTGGTGACGACTTTACACTAGGACTCCAGAGATTTGATTTCATCCTGAAGCTATTCATTAGCAGGCATCAGAGATGTTGTACTAGTGCAGCTCTGTATTACACTAGAAGCACAAGAAAACAATAGTAATAACAACAATAATCATATTATTATATCTGAAACAGTGAGTTTTATACTTACTTCTCGAATAAAATGTCGAATATATGTCATCAGCATGTAGTAGATGCTTGCATTGAACCGATTAATTATTAAAATGTATTGTTTAATTTCATCATTATTACTATTTATTATTGTTAATGTTATGATTTCAAGTGGTCATTGGAAGGAAAATCCATTATGTAACGAATAAACGAATGAATGGATGGAAGGAGGGATTGATGGATGACGGACTTTTTACTTCAAATGTTTTATGAATAATTTAAAAAAAACTTTACTCCAAATTTTCTTAAAATATGGAAATAAATGTTTAAATATGAGGAGTTCCGATATATATATATATATATATATATATATATATATATATATATATATATATATATATATATATATATATACGTAAAATGATTTCAACCAGTTAGGATAGTTTCGCACATTTTACGAGTCTTATAACAAACACAATTGATGCAGTGTTGTGAATTGCTCAAATCAACTTCTAATATGAATTATAAAAGTAAAGGTGGGTGGTATGGTTCTGAGGACAGGGGGGGAGGAGTAGTAGGAAGTGAGGTGTAGAGGGGAGGCTGAGAAGTGTGGCAGATTGGGAGATGGAAGAAATGATAGTGAGAAGGACACATACTGATTGCTCAATTCTGCTCAATTTGGAAATAACGAATTATCTTAAGCATCATCATTATCATCCCTAGTTTATCATTTTTGATAATAAAAATAATTTATCAGTAAAGGTCATAAAAAAAAGAGAATATAACATGATCACATTTCATGTTGAATCAGGTTGATTGATTGATTGATTGGTTATTATAATTAGTATGGATATTAAGGAACTAAAAGCAATTAGAAAACTTTATGCAAATTATAATAATTATTTTTACAAGTTGATCACGAAACGATATCAGTTAGAGAACCATTGAAAACCAGCCAGTGAGTACTGGGCAGCTGTTTCATCCTAGTTTGGGAATCATCGGTAGTAGGCACCCACCATAAGGGTTCGAATCCATGACCTTCCGGTTACAGGGAGAGCAAGCTCGTATACCATTCAGCCACTGGGATCCAGTTCACTGGCCAGTGAGTGATTTTAGCGCGACCACCAACCAGTGTCATCGGTGGGACATCCATCCTCACACATGACTGGATGGACCCTACTGGTCATGGCTTCAGAAAATCAAATCGATGGATGAGTGGGACATACGGCCTTCAGCAAAATCTGAATCACGGGTTTTTGAATCGCTAACCTAATATGAACCTACAAATCAGCTGAACTACGACATCAAATTCCTAACTCCGTTATTATTTCACCGCTGTGACCTTGATGTTCACTTGGACTTCTCACATCCTATTCAATATATGAATCGTATTTATACCAAAATACAGAATAAAATGCCATCTTATTTCAACGACTGGTGGCATAGACGACGATGTCAAAGCAGACAGCGATAAGAAAGGTAAATCGATTGCCCACAGCTTTAGGAGCAAGAATTAGATCTGCATTTATGCATAAGACATAATCTTTAGAATCTCTCATTATTGAAAGGATTTGCCTTTATGCAAAACTTCAAATATCGAGGGTATGTCCTCTAAAGAAATATTATTCTACCAGATATTTTTGATTGAACGCTAGTAAGTAACTAGTGTGATGTGTTATGTCCTCTGTTTGGTGCAGACTGAATTCTACCAGTCAATTTTGCAATTTGACCAACATGTTCGGAGGCTTGCCATCACATTGAACAATGAATTGTTGATATTAGATAGTTGAAGGCAATCGACAGAAAGCCCTGGAACTAGGTTTCGTGCTAGTTGGCAGTTACCGGTCAGTTAGGCGTATCTGCAAACACTAAGGAACTCATATCGCTTCTGAGATTGAAACCCGCGTCACCCAGTATCACCTGCAGTCAAAGACGTTACCACTGACCTAGTCAGGCTAGTAACTGATCCCCTGTAGGACTGTATTGGATATTTTTGATTGGACACCAGTCAGTAACCAGAGCATTGTGTCTAGTTTGACTATCTAATATTCCATCCAAATTATGCCACGATGCTACTTCACATCGTTTTTTCTGCATTTCCTTCAAAATACTCCTAGCGATAAACTGAAACTTATGCTAAATTGAATACGAGTGTAGATTTTAATTCTTTGTGATACTTAGAAGAGGAAAACAATCTTAAAATGAAGTAATAACGATGCATCTTGATGCGCGAAAATTTATTTGGCCTAGTGATCTAAAGAGGCCACCTTAAAAAGACCTTGCGAATCATCTACAGCTCTTGACTTTCGTTCGATGATACGTAAGATCAGATGACCAGTCAGAATTGATAAGCAACATAGAACTCTGAGAGGCAAAAAAACTACTACAAAGAACCTTTTGCCTGAAAAATCATGTAGGATAAAACTAAAACTCATTGACCATACTCTGAGGGGAACATTGAGTAACTACACATGTCAGATAAACCCTCAAGTGGGACACCGAAGGAGAAGTGACGAGTTAGGCGTGTGTGTCAGAGGATGATACGAAGAAGGTCGTGGACAGTCGTATGGTCAGCCAAAGACAACTTCAGGTAATAGGATGAAATTCAGATGTCCATGTGTTCCACTTTTAGAATTCAGGGGAATAGTAATAATGCCTTATATAATCTCTATTACTGAGAACGTTTTTCCCTTTGCTATAGGTGGAGTTCAGTGCTAAATGGTTAAAAGCTCAACTATTGTGAAACTAAAAATGTATCCCTTATAAATGTTTTAACATTAACAAACAGAAATTATCATTCAGTAAGCTTTGAAAAAGAAAAGATTTATTATTTTCATCAAAACAGATAAAAGACTGCTACTTGTTTTCGAAAAAAGCACGTCTATGCAATTTTTAAGGTGTACCAGTGCAAAGGCGTTTACCTGGGATACTCGATTACGCCCATTCAAAAACAGAAATCAAAAGTCTACATTACTGTTTAGCAAAATTAAATTATTCAGGTATTGGTTTTGTAGAGATTTGTTTAATTGATTATTTAGAGGATTGCATTATGCGATGACATCAGTTAGACAACTATTGGAAAACAAGCTAGGAGTACCGGAGAGCTGTTTCATTCGAGTGGTTGGGACTCTTCATCAGGACGCTCCCTACAAAATCAATACATGAAAATTAATCTGTTGCTCACTGACAACTGTCATTATTCCGGCAGGTAGTTGCCTGGGGTTCCAGTGGCAAGCCGTGACCAGTAGAGTACAACAGGTTGAAAGTTCGAGCAGTAAGTCATTCAAGAAGACTGCGAAGTGGTCGGTCTATATCATGAATTGGTAGAAGTTGGAATTCATGGGTTGGCCTTTGTATGTGGTCCCAGTGGCTGATAAATGGTCCATGAACTAGCTCGTCTTGTAACCAGAAGGTTCTGGGTTCGAACTCCGGTGGTGGATGAGTACTAATGAAGAGTCTCCAGAGACCAGGGTGAAACAGCTGTCTAGTACCCCCAGGTTTTATAATGGAAATACTTGTAAACAGAGTTAAGGAAAATTAATGAAAGAAAGAGCACATATTTGGAGGATAATACGACCTAGTTTTTATTTTTAGTGGATTCTCTTCATCTGTTTTCACTCTAAACAAAATCAAATCATAAATTACACAATTTATGAACGTAAACATCAAACATGCTTTTCCACAAGGACTTCGAGTTACAGGTAGAAAGTATACGCGACATCATTCGAAAAATAATCTAGGTGGATGAATTATTCTGTGTTAAAAGGAGGCTAGCTATTTAAGGTATAATTAGAGAATTAGGAAGATACTGAGTGAGTTCAGATTTCGCCTGGAAGCAAGGTTAGACTACATAAAAAGTACAAGATCGAACAACATGGTCAATTTATACATATTATGATGAAAAGTTCAAGAGGATGCGAATGACTGATAACGTGATATTATAACATGAATAAACAAACAAGTAGACAAGTGGAGACACAACAGTAAGTTAAAATCAGTCCATAAGTGAAAATCAAAATTAAAATTAAATGGAATGTTATGTAACAGAACCAAACACAAAATCACATGGACAAAACAATTCCAGTTACCGTGGTAGTGAGAGACTGGTCACAACATATATTTGCCTACAGAGGATAAGTTGAAATCTTTCGATAACATTGACTCCTACGAACCATAGTTTCTAACACGTAAAGAAAATCATGGTTACTTTGGTAAATGCTGACGAAATGAGAGTGATTTAAACACCGGGCAGCTGCCTTGCTCATTTAAGACCAGGTTCTAAGGAGATATACTCAATCTGGCGCAATTCAGACAGCAAAATCGATTTTCGAGTATTTGTTTTGTAGGGGTCTGAGTGATTGGAATTTTATATGTGGGCGGTGACTAGCAGTGGAATCCAGTATGTGTATTTCCGTCCTATTTTGGACTCGCTATCTGGATGTACCTGCATTTCCCACTGAGTGATGATGTTCCCACCGAGTCTTGAACCCAATGCCCATATTTTCAAACGCCAAAGCGCTATCCACTAGACCACTTGGGCAGGTACATCCAGTTGACGAAGTGCGCATCCTGGATTCCAATGCTAGTGACCATCCACAAATTAAACTCTAATGAAATACCCAGACACCGTCGAAGCATTTGCACAAGAACCCGACATGTCAACCTGAGACCGAGCACTATGCTCCAAATATTTGACAGGAAAATCTAAGATTCGATAGGATTTGAGTGATTATTTTTGAGGATTTCATCACGAGTTTACATCAGTTGGAAAACCAACCAGGAGTACTGGACAGCAGTTTAGTCCTGGTTTCCGGAAACTCTTCATCAGTACGCACCCACCGCCATGGTTCGAACCCAGGACCTTCTGGTTACAAGACAAGCTCTTATACCACTAATCCACTGGGATCCAATCCCACGGACCATGAATTCTAACTTCCGCCTTAATGGTCTATAAGCTTGCCTTCTAACCAGACGGTCCGGAGTTTGTACCCCAGTCGTTGCATACTAATGAAGCGTCCCAAAATAGGCTGATGAAATTTCTGGCTGTCCAGTACTCCCAGATGGTTTTCCATTGGTTCTCCAAATGATATCAGCCCATGATGAAATCCTTCAAATAATCAGAGCCAAATCATTTGAAATCAACCGATGGATAAGTGGCAAGTTACTTGAAGCGGCTGGTAACAACTTGAATCAAATTCATTATTTGCAAACTGGTTGAAATAAGTAGTATATGGTTTTAAACATTCATGCTAACTTCCTCAATCACCATTTATGATATCAGGCAGATCATTAATTTTAGCCATCTGAATAATTTGGGTTTCCATGGAAACTGCATTAAATTTTTGCTTCTTTGAATTTTGTAAAATAAA